CCTCTGCATGGATCTCTCCTTGCTCTCCATTCTCTGTCAGTTTTCTCACTCCATTTGGTGCTTGGCTGAGTTCTTTATCTCTTCATTTGATGTTATAGGGTTTCAGGATTGTTGTTTTCTCTGTTTGGCTTAGTTTTTTGGATCTTTGCTGTGGAGGGACAGCATGGTGCTTCTGCCTAGAGCGCCATTTTGCCAGAAGTCCTCTATGCCAAATTTTTAAGGCCCATATATGCCTCACAAGAAACCAAAGGGCTTAATATTTTCATCTACATTTATTCTTATAAGTGCAGGTTATGCCATTTCCATAAATAAATACCATTATCAAAGTTTATTTGTAATATATATATATATACATATATACAAACACATGTATATTCCCTTTATTAGTCAAAAATAACCACCTCTATCCAGTTTCTTGGCAAGTGAAATATAGGCATATTAGAGATGTGTATATAAATTGGTGAGTCAAGGTAGATATTTTAGATATTTGGCTAAAACCTTTATAGGTATCAGTAAAAACAGTATGAAAAGAAAAATGTGATCTTTTTTCCCTGTATTTCTTTGTTTTTCCTCAGAAAATATAGCTACTAGTTGGCAATGTTTAAGTTCACAGCAAATTTAAGCCCTTCATGCCAGGCGGACACTCAGCCTTTATTGTAGACAGGTAATCCAAGGTTACGTAAAAGAACATAGAGTAACCATGATCCCTGAGAGGAATGAAGACTATGCACATCAGAGATTAAAGCACATACATACACACACATGCACACACAGGCATTCACATGCATGCACACACTCACCACAGTCTACAAATTGTTCTAAGTCATTTGCAGATGTTTCATGGGTCCATTTGCACTGGATCTCTCTGCTTGGAGCACAGTTTGACTACTTAGAGAAAGACAAAGTGCTTCCTTTGAGAAGTAACCTTTTAACACTTGAGAAAAAGGGTCTTACTTGCTTTTGAAGTAGAATGCTGCACAGAACATGCCCACGATGACAATTCCAAAGATGATACATGAAATTGACAGCACCTGCCTTTGATACACTTCTTCACTCTCTGTGAATATGAAAAACAAAATTAGAATGGATGTTAGCAGGGCACAGCAGAGACCATCCCCATCCTTGTACGTCTGAGCTGATAGGAGCCTCTCAAAGTCAAGTTTTTTGTTTCTGTCATGAGTAGGAAAAACACGAGGAAGTTATTAAGATTGTCTCTTTACAAAGGTCTACAGGATAACAATAATATTTTTTGAATCTGCATCTCTAAACCAGAACTCATACACCGATATCACAGTTATGAGTATCATCAGAAGATATCCTGTGAATTCAGGACATACTGGCAGATATACATTTTGAAATTCTGGTGAAGCAAAAACCAAACCCATTGCTGTCAAGTCGATTCCGACTCATAGTGACCCTATAGGACAGAGTAGAACTGCCCCATAGAGGTTCCAAGGAGAGTCTGGTGGATTCGAACTGCTGACCTTTTGGTTAGCAACTGAGCTCTTAATCACTGTAACACCAGGGCTCCTGAAGTTGTGGTGGAGCCTAAAATAATCAGCTAGAGGAACAAATACGTGTCTGTCAGAACATGCCTATGCCAGTGATAGCTTCCAATTTAGTTTTTTATGCCATGTTGATGTCTCTGTGGTTTCAGATTTTGAAGTGGCCTTCGGCTGTTACTCTCCTAACCATCTCCTATGACTATGATTGGCTTTTCTCATGACAGACAACTTTAATATCCAAGAAAATATTCTATTCATCCATTCCACAACCTTCTCGATACCAATGATTTGGTAAACTACATCACAGCCACCATGGCCAAGGTCACAACTTGTAGCTTGTCATCCCAAAAATGACAATAACTGAAAAATAAACATTTCACTTTTCAGACACTACCATTTACACTTCCAACTCACTTTCATGAATATGTCTATGAAACAGCTTTTCAACCTAATCAAGGACTTTTTATCACTAGACCAGTACTTACTTTCTGCTATTAGCCTTCCTCTGTCTTCATTTTTCTCTCTATCCAGCACAGAGACCAGGGGCTCATGATTACAGTCATTTACTGTCTTGTAAATACCTTCAACGATTGTAGCCCTTTCTCCTTCCTTCCCACCCATCTGGCAAAATAACTATATGAATCCAAGAAACTGCTTTATCCATGCCTCTCCCTCAAGCAGCTCAGAATTGGAGAAGATTACACAGTTGGGCAGAGGAACATGAATAGATGTTGACAACTACATTGCTTAAATGGACATCCAATAGTGACTAACAAACTCCTCAGTCTGGTTCTTCATTTTCCTACTGAGTATCCTGCACCTTCTCCATACTTTTCCAACCTCTGATTTACCCTCTCCTCCCTCACTCTCAGATCTTACTTTACACATCACAGAGAAGCCAGTGTACAGGAAATCCTTCCTTTTTATAACACAAAATATGCAAAACTGAATGTCTCTGCATCCATTTCTTTCTTCTCTCTTATTAGCACAGAGCAGTAGTCCTTAACCTTTAGCGTTCATTGGAGTCATCATCGGGGCTGTTGAAGGACAGACTGCTGCCTACTGTCTTTCCCAGAATTACCAATTTAGTAGGTCCAGACTAGGGACAGAACATTTACATCTTAAACAAGTTTCCAAGTGAGTCTGATGCTGCTGGTCTGGAGACCGTTTACTTTAGAACCACTGAATAGACTAAGAGCTACAAAGCATGAATCACCTATATCATAATTATCTGGAGAGGTAAGTTTTCATTATTAATGCCAAATTAACAGTCTCTATCTTGGGCCTTCTTAATCAAAATTTCTATTAAAAAAATGCTTTTCAAGTGCTTCTTATTCACATTAGAGGGTGATTCAATTAGAGAAAGTGCTATATTTTTATCAAAAAATAATTCCTTTAGATTCCATTCTCTCCTGTTGTCTCAGAATCATCTCATTACTGAACACTGAAGGGAACAGGACCCACATCAATCCATTTTATGATGCAAGCATTACCTTGATACCAAAACCAGACAAAGACATAGCAAGAAAAGAAACCACAGGAAAATAGCCTTCGTTGACATAGATGCAAAGATTCTTAGCAAAATTTTAGAAAATCACATTCAAGAACACCTAAAATGTGTAATACATCATGATCAAGTGGAATTTTTCCAAGAAATACAAGGTTGGTTTAATATTTTAAAATTAATCAATGTAATTCACCATTTTAACAAGGTAAGAAAAAAAAAGTTATCTCAGTAGAAGCAGAAAAAGTATTTGGCAAAATCCAACATCCATTCCTGATTAAAACTCTAAATACTAGGAATAGAAGGGAACTACCTAAATTTGATAAAAACCATCTATAAAAAAACTTACTAATTGTGAAAGACTAAATGTTTTTCCCCTAAGATTAGGAACAAAGCAAAAATATCTGCTCTCACTACATCAACTCAACATTGTAGTGGAGGTGTAGCCAGTTCATTAAAGCAAAATGGAAATAAAGGGAATTTAGATTGTAAAAGTAGAAAAAAAAAGTCTTTGTCCACAGAAGACATGATTTTTTATTCAGAAATGCTGATAGAACTTACCAAAAAGCTATCATTACTAATAAGTGAGCTTAGAAGAATTTTAGGACACAAGATCAATATACAAAAATTAAATGTATATCTATCTACTTGCAACAAATAAACAGAAATTTAAATTAAAATATCATTTACAATAGCATTGACATTATAAAATACATACATATAAATTTGACACAAGTTATACAAGACCAGTAAGCTAAAACTATGAAACATTGCTGAGAGAGTTTAAAGAAAATCTAAATAGAGTGATCTATCATGTTCATGGATTAGAAAACTGTTTTGTCAATCAGGGCTGGAAATTGCTGATCAAAAGGCTTTCCGTCTTGTGGTTTGAGGAGGATGGAAGACAAGAAAACTGTCCACACAAATCGATGACGCATAGTTGTTTATTCACACTTTGGGTAAAGAAGGCGGGAAGTCTGACTCCACAGGGTCAGGGCACAGGCCTCTGGGCATCGTTCCAACCGTTGGGGAGGCTCCTCCATGGAGAAGTGCTCGAGAGGAGTTTGGAGCCCACCCCCTCTTGTACAAAGACTCAGTCTGAGCTGTAACCAGGTGCATCTTCCCTGTCCTCAGCAAAGCAGCTATTTTTGGAGGTGGTTTCCCCTCGGTGGAGGACACGTGATTTCTTGGGTATTGGGTTGCCCCTTACCCATCACACCTGCAAAGCTAATTTGAGCTTCATGACACATATCATTTTTCTGGCCTCGTGAAACACTTCTTAGGCCATGGTGACACAGCATTCTAAATAAGGGCCAATTTTAATCTAATGTGATATTACAAAAGCTCAGTATTATTAGATGTCACCCCCCCTTCCCCAGGTTGACACATAGGTTCAATGCAATTCTAGCAAAAATCTCAAGAGGCATGTTGTTGCTGTTAGGGTGATTCTAAATGTTGTATGGAAATACAAAGGCCCAAGAGTAACCAAATAACTTTTTTTATTCAACTTCTTTTTAAAATTTTTATTGGGATAAAATAAATGTAACAAAACATATTAACCATTTTTATGTGTAAAATTCAGTGACATTGATTACATTCATCATGTTGTACAGCAATCACTACTACTTGTTTCCAATTTTTTAAATTGCCCTTAACAAAATCTCTGTACCCCTTAAGCAACACCCATCCCATTTCCCTGGAAATTTCAGTCTTTATGCATTTGCCTAATCTGAATATTTCATATAAGTGGGATCTTACCAGTCTGTTTTTTTTTATTATTCTTTTTTTATTTTTATTGTACTTCAGGTGAAAGCTTACAGAACAAATAGTTTCTCATGAAACAGTAGTACACGTATTGTACTACTGTTGATTGTTGATTAACAATCCCATGACATGTCAACCCTCTCCCTTCTCGAGCTTTTTTTTTTTTTTTTTTGGTGAAAATATACATAGCCAAAGATACACCATTTCAAAAATTTCTACACACACAGTTCAGTCACATCGACTATGCTCTAACAGTTGTGCTGCTATCCTCACTTTACATGAAGGTTTACAGAGCAAAATAGTTTCTCATTTAATGGTTAGCACACATGTTGCCCTATGACAATGGTTAACAACCTCTCAACACATCAACACTATCCTTACTAAACCTTGGGTTCCCTATCACCAGCTTTCCTGCCCCCTTCTGCCTTCTGGCCCTTGGCCCTGGACTGCTGTGCCTCATTAGTCTCATTTGGTTTTATGGGCCTGTCCACTCAAAAGCTGAACGGTGAACCTCGGAAGTGACTTCACCACTGAGCTAAAAGTGTGTCTGGGAGCCATATTCTTGGGGTTTCTCCAATCTCCTTTATGCCACCAAATCTGGTCTTTTTTTTGTGAGGTAGAATT